AAGGTCATTCCATCTACGAAGCAACGACTAGCCACTATTCCATCTACGAAGCAACGGCTAGCCACTTACCCTTCAATAGACTAGTGAGGTCACACTCGAAATCAAGTGGTATGGGAATCAGAGATGGGTAGCTCAACAGTGTGATGCATGCCAAGAAAGTCTGAAGTTTTAAGAAAGACCGGGGGACTCAGAGAGGAAAAACACACAAACAAACAAACAAAACCAAGATATAGAGGGGACCCAGAGAATGTATTCTGCCAAGAGGAAGAAACTAGAGCAAATGTAGAGGAGAGAGGGAACTGACTGATGTCTTGGAGAGGGAAAAGAATCTCTTTTGTCTGGGTCTAGGTGTGGTATATGAGTGTTAGGCCAAGGGGGATAATGAGACCCTGGCCCTTCCTCCTCAGCTTCCCGTGAGATGACAGGTTTGCCCCATCACACATCCCTCTCCTATCATGTACTGCCTCACCACAGGCACAATGGCAAAATAGACCAAGCAAGCAAGGACCAAAGCTAATAGAAACGTAACACAGATGCTAAGTTCTGAAGGCACATCACCCCTTTCCTTTGTAGAAGAAAAGGCAGGTGCAGGACAGTGACAAACATCTGGAGCTGGCCAGGAAAAGATCTGCCACCAGGCATGGCGTCTGCTCGTAAGGCTCATGGTCACAGTGTACAGTAGCAATAATCACATGGTGTGTCTGTGTCCACAAGGGGCTTCCAAGAACAAGGCATAGAAAATGGCAGCTCAGGATTAAGGATGGACAGACAGATATACCAGAAGAAGCCACCATGAAAAGGAAACTGAGTGTCAGGGACAGTGAGGCAGAAATGATTATAAGGCTTCTAGGCAGACAGGACTCAAGGAATGGGGTCTTTGGTAAGAGTCACTGGTTTCTTAAGCAACAGTGGGAGAGATGAAGGAATGCTGTCACCGAGTGAAACTGTGAAGTTCCCATTGTCAGAACTGGCCTACATCGACGTCAGGATTGGGTCTGAGGCTGTGTCTGAAGATGTGAACTCTAAGATGAAGGTCACAGAGCTGCAATCTGTTTAAGATACTCAGAGGCCAGGGTGATGCTGCATAGGACGAAGGCAGGGACAACACACAGGATGAGGAGTGGAATAGCCACCATTATTTTAAGAGCACAGGGCAGTGACCTAAAGATGCTGACAAGTATAGGCCTCTGAAGTAGTGAGCGAATAGTTCAATCTCAAAAGGAAGCACTATTGAAAGGAGAAAAAAAATGACTTTCAGTTTTTTCACCCCTATTACCCAAATGCCTGCTGATGACCTGCTCTATGTTTCTGGGTTTTGTTTGCAGTAAGGGGATAGAACACAGAGCCTCATGTATGCTAGGCAAGCATACCCCTGTGAGCTACCTCAGCTGTATTGTATCTGCATGATTTGGGGATCATCCTCTCCTACCTGAGTTCATCTGTCCAAAACCAACTCCTCTAATTTACTCTTCTTTAATCTGTCCTTCAAATTCTAGACAGTAGCACTATAAATCATTTAGACAAACCAGACATCATCTCTACCATCCATCCTTACTGCACATCCAGGCTGCTTCCTCCTCACACCGGCGGCTCTCAATGTGCTCTTCAATAAAACTCAGGAACAAAAGACCACCTGAAGCCATGGTGCTGGCACAAGCCTGTCATCCACAAACTGGGGTGCATGGGGAGAGGGGTGATAGCAGGAGAATCGAATGTTCCAGGCCAAGACAGCAAAACTCTCTTTCCAAACAAAACAAGCAGTGGTAGAGTGCTTACCTAACATACACCAAGTCCCAAGTTCAATCCCTAGCATAGAAAAAAAACACAGATCTGAAGTCTTAGCACAAGTTCTGCTATGCAGCCATTGCCCTAAAACATTTGAAGATCATTAACTTTGGAATTCTTTTTATTTCATGTTGTCTGAAGGCTTGTATTTCCTGATTCTTTTTATTTGTTAAGCACAATTTGAAATTTTATGAACACATTACAAAAAATCATTTGGACTGCTTGACTTGATAAATCAAGCTAATAACGTTCACTTTGAATTACATGACTCATTTTAATTCTATGTATTTCTTTATACATTTTAGTTCACCTTCGTTAAACAAGAAACACCCATACTTTAGCCCTTTTGTCATCTGTGAACGTTTTATTAAAATTCTCAATAACTCTATTGACATCAAGTCATGGAGTAAAAAGCAATGGCATCATTGAATTCTAAGCAAAACATCCTTGCCAATGCACGAACCAGACATGCAGCAAAGCAGTTTACGGTTTGTTCTACACAGTTTTCAGGAGAGAAGCTTGTAAGGGCTAGACTTCGTGCACAAAGGAAAAGCTGCTGCTGAGAGTGGAAGCTGTTGGCCCCTGGGCCTTGCTGACCTCCCCCATCCCACCTGTCACACCAACATTCACATTTCTCTTCTTACTAATCCGGTCTTAAAGCTAAATTCAACTCCCCCTTATCCAGGGCAAAGGTTCAGAGAGAGGGAACATAAGGACATTACTAGCCCTGACTCTGAGACTGCAGCAGTGTTCCCCTGCTAGAAACTGCTTGCACTGCACCTCTGCCCCCCTCCTCCTACCGCAGCCTCCAAACCTTGATACCCACTCCTGTGAGACGGAAATGTTTCTTTGCGGTACCATCAAGAAAATGGAGACATGGCTTGTGCACTCAGTTGCTTGAAAACTTGTTTGGAAGACAGTAAAAGTTCAATACTAACTTTCTCCCATGAGGACCAGTAACAGTTAGGAGTAACTTTCATTGAAATGTAACAGCTCATCTCTAGCAGAAGGATTCTCCATTTTACTTAAGGTTCTTTGCAAGGAAGGTTAGCTATAAGAACAGATTAAAAAGTAAACAGCAATGTCGGTGTAGATTTACCTTTATTTTCCCTGCACCATGAATGACCACATAGCTACAGCAGAAGCCAGAAAATTGTGATGTCCAGGACACTCCATGAAAGTCCTCATTTTTGGAGAATTGGAAAACACAAAACAAACAAACAAAGAATACTTTAAGGGGAAAAAAAGCTCTTAGAGAACTCATAGATCCTAACACACAGAGGTAAGTCCCAAACCAAAACCCAGCAAAACCAAAACATAAATGCTTACTCTGGTAAGAAAGCCAATTGAAAGGCAAAGAAAAAATATCATCTTGAGAACCCCACTTCCTTTCCCTTCAAACAGAACCTCAGAACAGGTGGGACTCAGTCACTCTGTGTGAGTCCCAATCCTGGTGTTTCTCATAACGGAGTCATGGAGTTGTAGCCCAGCTGTAAAGCCCTGGGTCCTCATTTTCCCAGTGGCCTAAATCAATCCCCAGTCCAGGACAAGATGCTGAGCAAGATGCCTAATTATTTCAGGCCACTAGGGTAAGCACTATTCCTGGCAACTCTGCAAGCAGCACCATGGACGAGGGTTTCTAATTCTCTTTGGTGATTTGGCTCAGTTGTAAACAGATTTTTCTGTTAGTCTTTCAGACAGGCAGGCAGGAAAGGCAGCTCCAGTTCTGTGAGAGACAATTCTGTTCAGGAAACACTCCTCTGCCCTCGCTGGCCTTTTGACACCCTTCCTTACAGTGAGAGTCCTGTGTGTTCGTTCACCTGGCCACATAGAGGCCACTTAGCCTGAGCAACAGCAGGAATGCACCATACAACTGCTTCTCTGGGAGGCCTTCTGAGACCCCTGCTTGTGACTGGAGAAGACTGCCCCCACTGACACTGAAGGTCTCAGGAGAGACTTTGCTAAGTGACCCAACTATCCTGTTGCCAATTCCTGAATTCTTCACTGGGTACGGCTGTCACAACATACTAAGCCATTATGTAACCTAGAAAGGGAAGGGCACCGCTGGTGTTTCCCTTCAGAAAACGGTGAAAAGGGTTGAAAGATCTGGAGGTTTGTGAACTCAACAAGGTGGTGGTGTTGCAAGAGAGTGGATCGGCTGACATCTGTCCCGGTTTAGCAGGTCACAGCTTCTTTGTACCACTAGAGGAGTGTCTTACTAAATTTCTCCTTGAAAACTTCTGTTTACTCTCTTAAACCGTGGGCACCAGTGGAGAGGTTCCAGGTGTGCATTCCAGGCACTCAAGCAATATACACAGACTGAGCCTGTTTGGCTACACATGTCCAGGCTCAAGAATTTAAGTTGAGAAAAGATGAGGGAACAGGCTGGAATGTAAAAGACAATGCGCCTGCAAAGCCAGACAGAAAACCTACCATTATTACAACGAAAAACTAACCAATTTACGCCATGCTTTTTGAAACTGCATTGCTCGCTCTCTGAATCTTCATTAAAGAGACGCAAACACATGTGCCCTGAAATGGGTAGGTGTAAAAGAACATTCTGCACAATTATATCTAGGCTGCCACAGATTTATCACATGCAGACATATATTTGGAGCATATTAATTCATGATGACAGCTGCGCATGGCAAATCCAACAGCGCACAAGTTGGAATGCTGGAGGAAGAAAAAAAAAACCGCAACTACAAACCCATGCAGGCACACACACATACGAGTTTTTCCCCTCATCACACACGTGGCCTCACTTACAGAGATTTAACACAATTGAAAAGCCCCCAAACAGCGGAGGTTCCCGCAGCCCAGAGCTCGGCCCCCACACCACCAGTCGCGCTTTCATCCACAGGCTTGACGGTCGCTCGTCCCAGAGCACACTCGCCCTCCCACCCACGCCCCGGTGCGCCGACACACGTGCGTCCAGAGCTCGCGCGCCGGTCAGCCGGCGGGGAAGCGCGGCTCCGGGGGCTGGGGGCAGGGCCCGCGGGCGGGCGGACGCGTCGTGGGGCCGGGCCTCGGCGCCCAGGGAGGGGACTAGGGGCGGGCGCGGGGCGGCGCCCGGCTCACGTGGGCGGGCGGGAGCAGCTGAAGGTCCGCTCGGGAGCCTGGGCTGTCCTCTCGCGCGCGGCGCTGGCCGGGGCGGCGGCGGAGGAGGAGGCGAGAGGCGGCGGCGGCGGAGGCGATAGAGGAGGGGAGGGCGGGGGCGGCGTCGGACTGGAGCCGATCGGCGGTGCGAGCTGCCCGGGGCGCAGTCGTGAGCTCGCCCGCCGGGCCCCTACCCCTAAGCTACACCCTGCCGTGCCCAGCTCTGCCGGCGTCCGTGCCCCCGCGGCGAGCGCGCCGGGGCTGCCCCCCGAATGACGGGCGGAAGGTTCGACTTCGACGATGGCGGCACCTACTGCGGCGGCTGGGAGGAGGGCAAGGCGCACGGGCATGGCATCTGCACGGGGCCCAAGGGCCAGGGCGAGTACTCTGGCTCCTGGTCGCACGGCTTCGAGGTGGTCGGAGGCTACACCTGGCCCAGCGGCAACACCTACCAGGGCTACTGGGCGCAGGGCAAGCGACACGGGCTGGGGGTGGAGACGAAGGGCAAGTGGATGTACCGGGGGGAGTGGTCACATGGTTTCAAGGGGCGCTACGGGGTCCGGCAGAGCCTGTGCACCCCCGCCCGCTACGAGGGTACCTGGAGTAACGGGCTGCAGGACGGGTACGGCGTGGAGACCTACGGGGATGGAGGTGAGCGACGTCGCGGCGGCTCGCGGGCTAGCACGGTGGGCTCTCCGGGGCTGCGGGGACGTGGGGAGGACGCGAAGCGCACGCGTCCGGAAACCCGCCAAAACACCTGGGGAGGTCCCCATCCCTCCGGCCCCCCTCATCCCACCGCAAGACTGCGTGGGTACGCGGCTGGGGCGCGAGGGTCTGCTCCGACCTGGTTCCCCGGGCGAGCGGGGTGTCCACACCCAGGGAGTTAGGCGCGCGTGTACCTGGCTGGGGCCAGCTCCGCTGCCACCGGGAGGGTTGGGCAGGAGAGAGGACGCTGTCACTTGAGCCCTTCACATTACGTTCCTGATCCCTCCCTCTCCGGGCCGGGTTTGAAATCGCCACTCTGGTGGAGTTAAGACAGACGCCTTGGGCTGCTCCGCTGCCGGTCGGTGCTGACCGCCCTACGGTTTGGTTTCACGTGGAGTCTCGTATTTCGCTTCTGGTCCTCTAGTTAGCCTAAAGATAGAAGCCAGAACCCCATAAGTAGGATGTTGGGGAGTTGGACCTTATGGAGGGTGTATTTTGAAGAGTCCTAGTTATGGGCAGCGAAGCGACCACTGAAAGCAGGTGAAATTCCCAATTTTCTCCCTAACTTTCACTTGGCTCCTTAAAGTACTTTGAATCAGCAGACTGTAATCTTTGCTGACCTGGAGAGCTCTCTGCAAATTACTGGGAAAATGCTTTCTGAAAAGCGACGGAGGAGTTGCCATTAAAAAAAAAAAGATAAAGAAAAAGTTGAAGAGAATGCTTTATCCCTGATGTTCATTAAAGGGTGCTAAACACACCTGGATGCTATTTAACGAAGTTTGCCTTGTAATTGTGTTTACTATAGGTCAGGATTCATTTTTCTCTCTAGGAAGAGCATACATTAGTGAAACAGGTGTCAAAATTTGATTAATTTCTTTGAAAACAAAGCCGAGGGAGACGAGTGGCTTATGTTTTGGCAAAGTACACTTTCTGATAATAAATATAGTCCTGTTTAATTGAAACGGATTGTAGGAGGCTATGTCACCTTTTGGAATTAAGCCGCTTCAGAGTTGGAGGTTATTAAAGGGATCCAATTAAAAGTTTCTCCAGCCCACTGAAATCCCGTTATGCGATTGCTTATATAAAAGCTTATACAATTTGTACACTTCACTTGCTCAGAACACTTGGACCGTGTTTCAAATGCAAAACAGCAGAATGGTAGGATTTTTTTAAAGACATCTTTTCACCCTACAATATAAATAAAGGCTATGGCTCTCAAGGATTAAAGGGAGGGTCTTAATACTTTTCTATGGGCCGAGCCCTGCATGCCATGGTAGGTAACAGTGGGCCTTAAATATTTGGAAGCACCAGAAAATGCCTTGGTTGACAGCCTTATGAGTGTTTGAGACTGAATTTGATTCGAAGCCTTAGCTCTAATGTAACAAAATACTGTGCTCAACAGTGGAAAACTTGTTTTTTTTTTTAATATTATCATTGCATAGCCCTTATTTTGAAGATTATAAAATAGACATGCTTTATTGCAACTTAATTACAACATAGGCGTCTTTTGAAAGTTAAAACTCATTAAATGAAACCTGGTGGTTTAGAGTATTCGTTATCCCTAGTAATCAAAACATAGAACACGGTAAAAGCCATTTTTGTGTCTATTTGTAGAAGGCCAGATACACCTCCAAATGACCATGAATAATCTGCCTTCTGTTTTAACTAACTTTGAAAATTTAAAAAGACAAAATTTGGCATCATCATAGCACTGTGGTTTTCTTTTTCTACAAAAAAAACGTTGTGCTATAGTCAGAAAAACAAATTTAAGCATGTAGATCACTTTTGAATGTCCATTTCCTGGTTTCTCTCATGTCACCACATTTTATCAGAAAGTGCATAAATTTAAAAAATGGCCTAAACAGAGCTATATTGCTACAGAGGTTTAATTCCAAGTGGAAACACCAGCTTCTTCCTAAGAGTTAGCTTAATTTTGTCTCTCCATGTATTTCTGGAGACAATAGAGAAGGAAGTTGTAATTCCATGTGAGAAGTATCACTTTATTTCACTAAAGATTTCTATGTAAAGTGTTGCTGAGATAGAAACTCCCTAAATATTAAGAACTAAATGCATCATATTCATGAAATCCAAGTCTACATTCCCAGATTCTTTTTGTAAATTCTGATCTGCTATACTTTTAAAAAATCTGTTATAAAACTATAGAAGATATCTAGAAAGACCCACTGTTCTATTTATGTATTTGAATTGTGGGGTCACTTGTAGCTCAGGCTAGCGTCAAGCTGGGGATGACCTCAAACTATAAACATTCTGCCACTACCTCTCCAGGACCAGGTGAGGATGGAATCCAGGCTTCATTCATGCCAGACAAGCACTCTACCAGCAGAGCTACATCTTCTACCTCACCCATGTGATTTATTTTTGGGGTTTTTTTGTTTGTTTTGTCTGCAGAATTACAGTTGCATGTAGCCTTTCAAAGCATATACTTAAGCTTGGCACACAGCAGTCCAAGTTTGACTAAAATTCATTCCAATCTGGATACCATCCATTATGATATTGTGCAGTTAAGATGGACAGATCTTTAGAAATCAGCTCCCAAATGAATACAATTTGAAGCAGAACCTGAAAAAAAAGGATGTTATTTTCATGTTAAATATGTACTGGAATTTAGGGATGGAGAACAGTAAATCGTACCTCCTTTTGAACAAAAGAACTTGGGAGGCCACCTGCTTCATAAAGAAATGGGTTCTGTTTTCTAGGTTCATTGACTAAACCAAACTGCTTTCAAACTCAGATCAACCACGTAGAGTTTGACCAAACTAGTTTCTAGTGGTGCTCTGGATGTCCTGGAGAAATTCTCTCCCATACTGTGATATCATAACAACACAGAAGGGAAAGGTGCCTGATACCTTTGTTCCTTGTCACTGTCCTCCTATTCTATAGTTCCAAAGATATTTAAACTATCTAATTATTGCTGGTTTTTAAACAGCCTGAATGTTGAAGCAGATCTTTGGAAAGTCTACTGGCTTGATGTTGGAGTTGTCATTTGGAGGAAAGTGGCCATTAGTTTTCTGTTGATGTTTAGGCTCTACTAAGATGGGATAGTTGTGTTTTAAAGGCATAAATACTTAACACCAAATAGCATCTTTATAAACTATTTTAGCAAACTCATTCTATAGAAAAGTTAGAATGCTAGGAATATGGCATTTTAACTGAATAAAATGTCAAATATGGTGATTTGTTTTAGTGTGTGTATAAGGTTGTATAAATTTCATCCTACTATTTTGATTTTATCTAGAAAAAAGTCAAAGTTAGAAGTTTCTAATAAATCATTGTCTTTCCTATAGGGGCAGCAATGTTTGGAGATAGCTGTTATTCAATAGGAAGGTCATTATCATGCAAAACAAAAAAACACTAACATTTTTAAAACAGGGTCCAGCTGTGTAGCCCAGACTGGCCTGGAACACATGAATCTCCTGCCTCAGCCTTCCAAGTGCTGAAATTGCAGACATGTATCCCCATAAGCAGTATCTGAAATGTTTATATATAACAATCTTACCCTGTTTTGAGAGCTGTGCCTCACCCCATTAGAAGTTCATAGGTATGAAGTTAACTTCCCGTCTACCTAGACTATGGCAGTCATAGTACCAGACCCTTTACTTAGTATTTCATTGTTGCCTTCTGTTGTCAGTTTATGAACTGTAAATATATCAGAATGAGAAGAGGGAGAAGATAGTTTTGAAATTGATCCAAACCTTTGACTTGGGAACAGTTCCTATTAAAACCACTAGCTCATACAGACACAGTGATATGTCCTTGTAATCCCTACATTTAGGAGGCTCCCATAGGATTGAGAGTTCCAAGCCAACCTAAGCTACATACTAAGATACCAACTTAAGAAATAACAGTACCCCCAAAAGAATTAGCACTTGTTGCATTAAAAAAATAAATGTACCCCAATCAATGGAACCCTCCAAGGCGATGTAAAATACAAAGTATAATCAAAAACAGAACAAGATCAACAGACTGTAGTCATGATTTATTTTCTATGACATTGGGAATTGTTAAGAATAACACCAAAGCAATTACATCTAAAATTTCTTCCAGATAGCTACTCTGGGGTCATACAAAGAATGCAAAATTTGCCTTTAATTAAAGGGAATGAGCTTGACTTTGAAAATTCAAAGCTCCTTAGTTTAGCCTTTCTTTCCTCCAAAGAGCATTTAAAAACCCCTACCAGGATATTTTTTAATCTTATCTTCAATTATTAAGTAGAAAAACTCACTGAAAATATTTTTACAGTTTATATTACCTTTTACATTTATATTCCCATTATACTATTTACATTCTTATTAGACTTTTTAAAGTATAATATTCATTGAAAAAGTGATCTGGAGCAGCAAAATTTTAATGGACACTGTCAAGTATTCTTCTAAGATTTTTAAAGTTTCTTTCATCCGTCAGTTCATTCAAGCTCTGTAAACATAGTCTCTAGACAGCCGGAGACCACAGAGACCACAGGACTCATAAGCTATGAATGGGTTTGAAACATTTGCCTTCCTCTGAGAATCAGGTCCTACCCTCAGGTATTTGCAGTGTGTGGTGAGACTTACAGTGCTTTGCCAGAGATTAGGGAGAGCCGTGTAGAGAATGCCCAGGAGAAAACAAATTCCGCAAGTAATATGCTACTGGGCGAGCACACGTGGGCACACTCACACACACTCACACTCACATCAATCCCCAGCTTGCCCTTCCCTGAGTGTAGGATGTTTAATGTCATAGAAAAGCCAAGACAGCTTGTTAGACAACCCGTGTCCCATCACTGTTACTAGTGTTAAACCTTGGTGCTTTTTAGAATGCTGTACTGGGCAAAGACCTCAAAGCCATTTTTCAGCTAAATTAGTAAAACTTACATGTGAAACCATGACTAGAATACATTTTTTTTCTGCCTCACTAAGGTCTTTGATGCTTTCAGAAGGGAAAAGGTTATTTTCACTGATCACTCTATTTGTATTGAGCAAACGCAATTCACAACTCTGAGTGTATAGCTTGCTAGTGGAGCATTAGCCTAGTATATATAAGGTCTTAGGTTCAATTTCCTGAGAAACACAAACACTAAACTGTGATTCCTATGCATGCCTACCATTCCTAAAAGTTTTGAATGATAATCAGAAATCCAACTGATTATAGATTATAGATTAAATTACAGATTAAAACCATAAGAAATCAAGGCACCAGGTAGCCATTCACAGGTGAATGAAAAATGTTAACCAGGGATGCCCTCAAGAAGTGTGTTGAATTTGACCCTGGCCCTTCCTGTCCGGGGTACTGTACTCTCAGTGTACAGATGCCATCCCCCAAAACTCACACACTCTTACCGATCTGCTCTCTCAAAGGTACCTACCAGGGCCAGTGGGCTGGAGGCATGCGGCATGGCTACGGTGTGCGCCAGAGCGTGCCATATGGCATGGCCACGGTGATCCGCTCCCCACTACGCACCTCGCTGGCCTCGCTGCGCAGCGAGCAGAGCAATGGTAGCGTGCTACATGATGCTGCTGCAGCTGCTGCTGCAGACAACCCAGCTGGCACCAGAGGCGGCTTCGTGCTCAACTTCCACGCAGACACAGAGCTGGGCAAGAAGAAGGGTGGCCTCTTCCGACGGGGCTCTCTACTTGGCAGCATGAAACTCCGCAAGTCCGAATCCAAGTCTTCCATCTCCAGCAAGCGCAGCTCTGTCCGCAGCGATGCAGCCATGAGCCGAATCAGTTCCAGTGACGCCAACTCCACGATCAGCTTCGGTGATGTCGACTGTGATTTTTGCGCAATGGAAGATCATGTGGATGCCACCACCACGGAAACCTACATGGGCGAGTGGAAAAATGATAAGCGCAATGGCTTCGGCATCAGCGAGCGCTCCAATGGCATGAAGTACGAAGGCGAGTGGGCCAATAACAAGAGGCATGGGTACGGCTGCACCGTGTTTCCCGATGGCTCCAAGGAAGAGGGAAAATACAAAAATAATATCCTAGTCCGTGGAATAAGGAAGCAGATTATACCAATAAGAAATACAAAAACTAGGGAGAAGGTGGATAGAGCGATTGAAGGCGCACAAAGGGCTGCCGCCATGGCCAGAACCAAAGTGGAAATAGCAAACTCAAGGTATGTGAATACAGGGCGGGTGCTTTGGCTTAAGGCAGGGATGGAGGGTCTTCAGAACACTGTAGTTTTCTCTCTGCTGATGGTGTCACCAAATAGGTTCCCAGTACACTTGGGGGAGGGGGGAGACTGAAAATGATTGACTCCAACAGAATAAGAGTGAGAAACCATTTTCAAAAACTGTTAAAGGCACATGAGACAACCTTTCTTTTCTGAATTATGTCCCTAATATGTAACAACCTGATGGAGTTCATCCAGACATCTCTAAGTCCAGAAAGTTGGTATTTTTAAAGTGCCTCAGAAATACTGTCACTACTTTGTGTGTTAGAGAAATTATCCCTTTGTGTAGAAACATATCTACAATATAGGTTAAAATTCTGTTCGAGGCTTTTTGAATCAGCTTTGAGAAAGACGTAGAGGTCTAGGAAAGGAAGAAGCATAAGGGAAGAGGATGAAATCTAGCATGGATGTTGAAACAGCCAGAGCTCCTCCACAGGAACAGACCAGAAGGCCAAGGCTGGGAAGGATCGCCCCAGTGTGCAGGAAAGATTAGATCACTTGTGTATTAAAAGAAGGGGGCGGAGAGAACTTGACGTGGACAGATGGGATTCTTAGTGTGCCAAGGTTGGAAGAAAGTAGAGCAGTCAAGAGGAGGGCTGGCATACGCAGGAGAAAACGGGTCGGTAAGAGGTGGACAGAGGGATGCATGTGGGCAGGGGAGAGTTCTGTGTCGAGGTTTTACTCTAGAAACTCCGCTCCATGGTTCAGCACAAAGGATGGAGACACATGTAAGGATAGAGTTTTACTAATGATAGGCACCATCAGTTAGACAGCGCTGGTTTTGCTTGGAGGTCTTAGTTCTAGGTGTTAAGGACTGGCCATAGTTACATGTGACTTCAGACATAAATCTGGCATAGGATATTTAAAATCCTGTCTCTGCTTCAATAATACTCATCTGCCTTAATAAACCTTCTTCTGAAACCACAAAATATTAGCATGCCTTTGGATGTTTATTCTTAGTACTAAAATCAGTGAGTAGCCCCACCCCTTTTGGTTGGACCATAGGGAATTTAATTTTTTAAAAGATTTATTATTTATGTGTAGATGCCTACAGGAGGTTATGTGTGCCACATGCTGGTTCCCCCCAAGGTCAGAAGAGGATGTCTGGCGCCATGAAGCTGGAATGATAGGCAGTCATGAGCTACTGTGTGGATGCTAGGAACCAAACCCTGGTCCTCTACATTGAGTAGCAGGTGCTCTTAACCACTGAGCCATGTCTCCAGTCCCAGTATTTGAACTTTTAATACACAAGAATGTGGTAAATTCATAGCTGTTCTTTAACACTTCATGAACTCTAGACTCGTTTGCTTTGCTTTGAATAAGCCTGTTTTAGGAGTACTGTTGCATCTGAAGCAATGATTGGAAAGTGAAAAGAAGTCACTTTTTTGTGTTATTTTAGCCCACACAGTTTTGCTCAACGAGAACTCCCATGAAGGATTTCTCTGACGCTCTTTCCTGAGTACCCTCTGGTGTAACAGTTTTCTTTGCTAAGCACTAGATCTGCATGCATTTCAGGGCACTTGGCTCATGCAGTCTCTCTGACTTTGCTGGCCCTCAGCTCCCTTGTAGAGCTGACTCTGCATCCTTCACTTGCTAGGTCCCAATCTCTAATTTTAAACGCACTCCTGGAATCTTCCATCCCATGTTCTCCTTACAAGTTAATAGCACACTATAGGCAAGTTGGGCTTAGTGTATGGGAAATAACCCTGTGCAGGACACTCTTGCAAGTGATGTATTCTAACTTGGTTTTCATGGCGTGTTTAAATTCCTGAAGGGCATGCTTGTGGCACAGAGACAGTCTCTGACTATCCTAGCGACATGAAACATTTTCCCAAGTCAGAGCCACATTCTTCTGTTGGAACAAACACTCGGAGAGAGTGGCATGTGGTTTGGGGACACTGCCTCATATGTTGATGTACTGTATCACATAGTCAATAGCCCAGACATCTTCAGACCTTACACTTTCAGCAGCCGAGATGTCATTTAGCAACTTAAAAATACTCAATGCATTATGCTAAATGAAATGAAATGAAGGACAAATACTATTTGGTCCTACTTAAATGGGTCATCTGAAGTGGCCAAACTAAAAAACAGAGCAGAATGGTAGCTGTCAGGGGACAGGTGAGCTAAGTAGTCACTGCTTGTGGGTTTGGGGTTGAGGAAGTTTGAAATGTGTCTGCTTGAGAAATTCAGGCAGCACCGTGCCTGTAGTTCACAGTATTCAACTGTGCACTTCATTCTCTTAAAAGGAGGGTTGGAGTTGTGTGAGGTGTTTTTGTTTTTCCACAACACAAAGGTAGTATTCAGATGACATAACAGACAAAAAAAATTAAAAACACTCAACTAAACTTTTCTACTTTCTTTTATTTTCCAATGCCCTTGATGCAGTAGATACTTTTTTTAAAATTTAGGTTAGAAATAATCTTGTTTCACATGTCAATCCCAGCTCCCTCTCCCTCTCCTCTTCCCCTGCCCTCCCCACCAGGTCCAAAATTGCAGTAGATACTTTAACACAGAGTTTTGACTTTATCTTTGAAGAAGGTAGCTGACTGACTGACATTCTCCATGACATAGTTGTTTATAGGTGATGATATAACTAGGTATTAAACATCACAGGGTAGGTATAAAATGTATAGATGACTTACTAGCAGATTAGCTCTTTAAAAAATCAAAATTAGAGCCTGGGAGATGGCTCAGTGTGTGAAGGTACTGACCACTAAGCCTAATGACCTAAGTATAATCCCCCAGACCCACATGGGGAAAGGGAGAACCGACTGCTGATCTTCAGATATATGCCTACATATGCACACATTGGGAAATGTAATTTTTTTAACTTAAAATTAAAACTAGAAGGGATGTTCATAATTTATTGAACCATAGAACTTTTCCTCAGTTTCTGCTCTGATTCAAAAAGTATTGTTAAAAAATGACATTTTCCCCCTTCCCTTCTTGTCTTGATTGGGGTAAAATTCGTCTTCAGTGACTAACACGGGTTTCAACTCTGTTGCTTAAGAAATCTTAGATAGGAGAGCAGCTGCGATTATTTCAAGAAGGAAGCATGCCTGGCCATCACTAAGCTTCCATGCCAGTGGCTGACCTCAGCCTCCCTGCTATGTAGATGGCATACTCTCTGAGAGACTTCCAAACCAAGGAGAAGATGCCAGCACCCAAAACCAGACCCCTTGTCTTTCCTTCGCCCATATTTTTATCCTTTGATGGGAACTAACCAGCTGGACTCATGGGAGTATTTAGAGCATTATACCTAAGAATGGATCCCTTACAACATTGTGCTTGTTTAATATAAGTCTGTTTGGGTAGAGAAGACTAAAGGTCACAGCACCAGAACTTGAATGACTGATTGACTCCCCTCATATTGAGAGGTAGAGATGAGGCGTCATCCAAGATTATTCACTGTCCCTCTGAATGACCTGCTACCAACACTCATGACCATTCTTCTCTTAGCTCTTTCTCCAGCAGTTCCTTCAGTCATCCTTGTCCTGTCAATCCTGTCTCTCATTCAGTCACCATTTATTCCATTGTGACTCCAGTAATTCCTTAAGATGTTCAAGGAGGTTCGTAATACTTGAGAGCAAATGTTGTCGGGAAGAGAAAGCATTTTATTGAAAGAGCGAGTGAGAAGTGGTTCTTACAGAGCCAAACTTAGAAACTTGGAGAGGAGTTTGGACAAAAGCAGGGTTTTGTATTAAGCTGAACCTCAGGAAACAGTCATCATAGAAGAGGGGTAATGCACTGTGAGAGAGTGACGGGCAAGAGAGCTGACTTGGAGCCACTAAGGACCCAAATGACTGCTTACGCTAGGGTTATCCTATAATAGCATCAAGAGGATGCAAGGTGGTGGTAGATCAGAGAGTTCACGGGAACTATTGGTTCTGCACGTCTGTCCTGCTCCATTTCACTGAAACTAGTGGGGCTCACTGGTGTGTGGCTATCCAGGCTTCAGTCTTGGGATGTCAGTAACCATGGAACAGAACAATTAGCTGCGAGGGACTTGTGCTGCCACCATCAACCTCACCTAGACCGCCCTCACCACTTCTGGTGACAAGAGTGTTACCTGTCCAGCATCTGGGACAGGTAATGTCCCGAGGAACATTCTTCTCTCCTCCCTGCTAGCCCCACATGTCCGACTGTCGGCGGAGTGGACATGAGAAATACGAGCAGAAAGTGTGTAGAGGGTCTCGGGTTCAGATGGTTTGGTGCACAGGTCAACTCGCTGCATCTGTCTTCAGAACGCTAGGGTGGGTTTCACACTTTTCTGTAGATTTTTTAAAGACTGCTGCCCATACTTCTACAGTTTCTTACCCCCTCCCCACCAGAATGTGTTTTTCTCCTCCTGGCCAGATCTCCAGTCCTCACTCATGTCATATGTCCCCAAGGAAGGTACACAGGATCCCATGTTCTCCCCACTTCCGTCCTCCTCGGTGTGGATTAAGTTCCTGTGGTAATCGAGGTGCCGTTACATGACAAGCATATGAGACTCTTACTTCACAGCTGGATTGGGAGTGGCTGACCCTACTGGTAGTTCTGGTCCCTTTTGTGTCCCCAATATGACCTTTGATCAGGGGACAGTCAATTACATTAAGTTCTCATCGCTCAAAGTTTGAATACTTCCAGGCTTTCTGATATGGTTTTGCCGTGTATTTATGAACTATAGTTTGAAGGAAGAAAATGTAGTGCTAATAATTTGTTGTGCCATGATAGTCAAGGAAGTATAGAAAATGCAGAACTTAGTGGGACAGGAACCCCTTCTCCTCATGAAACCAACAGGCCAACTGGGTACATTGACAAGGTGTCTCCATTCTCAGCAGGAGTTGAGCTGGTCCAATAATAAACAGTAATTCCTCTACAGATTAGGAGCCTCCAGGAATTTTGTCCATAGTGATTATAATAACTGGTTCATTCTGTGCATTTGACAGCAACAAAGT